CCCTTTTTCTTTAGAGGAATATGAAGAAGCTCTGAAGGTAAATGCTCTTTGACTTTTTTCGATATATTAGTCCATCTCCAATTAAAATTGGTGTAGTTGAGAAAAAAACCCAGCATTACCTGTCCCATGGAAATCAGAATAGCTCAGTTTTATAGCTTTGGAACTATCTTGAATATTTTGCTACTTTTTTTTTTTCTCCCATCAAGACTAATCTTGATTTCTATAAATTAGATGACTAGGTAGTTGTGGTTCAGGGCCCTGAGCAGCCAGTCACTGGTTAAAATTTCTCAAACACTCCAACGGTAATCCCATGTTTGGAGATACTGGGCTCTCATGAGATCCCTTTAAAAATCTTCCTGTGTAGACTCTAATGTTGTACTCTTCAGCAATAAAACTTTAATTGGTACCAGTGCTTAGTTACTTTATAAGCAGTTAATTTTATTTAGACAAAATAAGAATTGCATTCCTTTAAGTCTCAGTTTTACGATACTAATGCTTTCAGAACTTTTTTCTCATGGTCTGAATTTAAAATCTGATAATTTTAAAATAATCATAAATTTACTGTAAGTTTCTGGACAGGATCTCTATTGTTTACTGGCTCATATGAACAGCTTTATTACAGATTTTATTCCTGCAGAATATCTGCATAATTTTTGCTTGTAATAAACTTTTTAGTAAGCATACTGGTGACCTTTAAGAAAGGCAGAACAGACTATTGGCTGACTGTACCTTGACATTTCACTCTATTTTTGTGTATGTTAGTCTTTCCTCAACCTCTCCAATGTAGTGCTGTATTTTTACAGGGTTTTGTATGTTGGTTGTGAGTAGAGTAAATATGGTGTGTGTATGTGCTGTTTATTTAGACTGCAGTTAAACAAGGAAATCAACTTCAGATGAATGTGTATGAAGATAACTCTTCGCCAAAAGAAACTTCGTATTCTTTGCAACTACATGAAAAAACTGTGACAAAGAAGTTGGCACATCATAAAGATGAGAAGAAACCTCTTTCATGCCATTCAATGCTACCTCAGGGGTTACAGGAAGACTCAAAAAATGAAAAGGAGCTGCCAGTTCAGGTAGGATGCAGAACTGGATTGTATATTCATTAAGACAGAGAATTTGTAAGTGTGATTCACTTTATAGACTGATTGTTGTCTTTACCCATACACAAAAACTCTGAGTTCAGGAGCTGGTCTTTTCAGCCACCTGCATCCATTGAAGCTTGCAGAGGATATTTTGGTGATGCCTTGAGAAATACAGATTCTTTCATCTTGACTGTTCTTAAGTATTTTGATAAACAAAGCAATTGTTCTGCTGAAGCCCTGGTTGCCGTCTTCTGCTTGACTTGGTTTCCTTGGCTTTGATGTGTAGTTGCACTCAAATGCTAGTAAGGCAGAAATCTTTCAGGAAAGTGTCAGTGGCTTGCCTGTGTTGCCTCTCCACTGTTTTCCAAAGAACTTAAAAAAAAATTTTTTTAAAGACACTTGAGGGGAGGGATATTTGAAAGTGGTTAACTTGCTGTATTGAGGTGTTTGCAGGTTTGATACTTAAAGCTTGTGACTTATTTTTGTGGTGTGGTGTTTTGTGTTTTGTTTTTTTTTTTTACCCAGCAAAAGTTAAGTCATGCTAGAACAGGAAGAAAAAATGAAAATCCTCCAGAATGGTTTACTAGCTACTTGGAAACAGTAAGTGTGTTTTCTTCTGGATTTTAGTATTCTTAAAGGAATACATAGGAGGCTGTGGGTGGAAAAATCGTAGAATTCATAGAATCATAGAATGGCCTGGGTTGAATAGGACCTTAAAGATCATCTGGTTTCAACCCCCCTGCTCTTGGCATGGTTGCCAACCACTGGAGCAGGCTGCCCAGGGCCCCCATCCAGCCTGGCCTTGAACCCCTCCAGGGATGGGGAGAAAAGAGAGACATCTGATAACACTTGCTCTCAGTACTTAAAAGGCATTTAGGCATCTAATCACTTTGGTTTTGTGGTGATAAGTGGAAACTAGATGTCTAACTGTGACTGTTCAGTGTAGGTGTTACCTTTAAAAAAAGTTTGATACCTGCCACTTCTTGTCAGAAGTGGATTGTTTGGTTTATGCACTTGATTGGTTTAGTTCTAAGTAGCTCCCATGCTAAAATCCTTGCTGAACTCCAGATAGCTGTAGGAACTTCAGGGCACTCATGATGAGAGAGCATGAAATACCGTGTTGCTGTTGGAGACTTGTTTGACCAGTTTCAGAAGGGTAGTACTTAGGTTCCCTGAGATTGGAAGTGTAGCAGTTGATGACCTTACTGTTCTTGATTGTTCAGATTAAGAAAATGCTTTCAGGAGGCCAGTGAGGATAACCTATAGATTAATAAGATGTGGGTGTTAACTTGTTTTGAACAGCTAATAAACGTCACTGAGGAGAGAAGCAGTTAAATACAAATGCTAAGAATTAATTAGCTAGTGAGTCCTTCAAACTGAAAGGTACAGTGGTACAATAGTATATGCATTTATCTTTAGGCTTTTTTTTCTAGCATCTCCCTTCCTTTGCCACTTCTTTATACAGACTAAACATAGGGGAAGTTAATGGTTGTATTTAAAACATCACTGGTGGAAAAAAGTGGGAATTAACAATAAAGACTGCAGGGGGGGTGGTTTGGAGTTGTGTTAATTGTCTCAGATTAGTTTATTTCCCTTCGTGCAAGGCTGTGGAAGAACCTTAATATTGTAAACTATATATTATTTTTAATTTAAATTTTTAAAATTTTTAGTTAAATACTGGTTTTAATTTGCCTTGTTGAAACCTGGGGGCTGGTGTTTTCTAAAATACAAATCCTCTTTGAGGAATGTGACTTGTTTAATTTCATCTGGAATGTGCTGGGGAGATGGAAAGTAGCTGAGCTGCTTTATGACTTCTGGATTGGGAGACTTGGGACAATGTAATCCAGCTTTTGAAGCTGCATAGGTGGGTCTCATCCACGACTACTTTCATTTTTTCCAGTTCAGGGAACAAGTAGTTAAGGAAACTGTTGAGAAACTGGAACAGAAGCTATGTGAGAAGCTTGTTCATCACAATCAGCCTCCAGATTTTTCTGAGAGCTCTATTACAGCAGCAGCTCCAACTTCAGAGAGCCAAACAGCTAATGGTGACCAGTGTGACTGGCTGATCTCGTGCTGCAACTGCCAGGCCCGAATTGTTGGAGTTCGCTACCAGTGCAGGTAGAACATGATGAGATATGGGAGTGTGGGAAACCTAATGTGTAGCGCATGTGAGTGAGTCTGAGAAGCTATCTTGGTGTGGTAGACTTCTAGATTTCTAACCTGCAGCATGCTGTACATTGTGGAACCTCCAGTTTGTCAAAGAGTTTGTTCTCTGCTGTGGTGACTAGACCTTGTCTGCATAAAAGCAAGATTCTATTTTTAGAAAATGTGATTGTTAAAACAAAGGGAGAGAACTTCATAACACTTGCTGTGTTCTCAAACACTCTACCTTTTTTTGCCTATAACATGCAGTAATTGTAAAAGAAAATGTTTTGTTCAGTTAACTAAACAAAAAAGCAAAACCTAAAACCAGCACTCTAGAATAGTCTGAGTATCAGAACTAAAGAGAGGACTAAGGCAGGTCATGCTTTTTTTTGATAATCTCACTGTTGTCAGTTTAATAATATGAAATAGGTTTTCCTGATTGTCTTAAGTGAGGTGTCAGAAGTGAAGTTTTTATTTTAATTAGGCAATTGCTGTAGAGGTAAGTATTTTTAGGACTAGGCAGCAGCAGTGAATGGAATGTCAATGGGAGTTTTTCTCTGGATGTTTATTTTTCTTGCTGGCAGGAGTTGACAGTCTTGTTTTTTACCAGTTCTGTTCCTGCAGGAGCAATCTGCTTTGCATCCCTGAATACTTCAATTAACTCATCCTCTGTATTTTCATAAGTATGATGCTGTTTCTGGCACTGGATTTCAGTATAGCAACAATTGTTAATAATTTGTGATAAAGTAAGCATCAGGTTTTTTCATGCTTTCCTCAAGAAGGAGGTGAGAAACTTGCAGTTTTGCCAAGAAGAGATACTGATTTAGGTATTCCAGATGGCTCCAAATATTGATGGATAAGTGAGAGAACCAGTTTCTGTTTCACTCAGGCACTGCTTAAAATGGTAGTATGGTACAGAGTTGTTTCTTGGCAGAAATGTAAGGATTAATTATCCCTCAGTGTCTTTTTCTAGTGCATTAATTCTTTGTCTGCCTCTTGGGAACCTTCTTCCTTCTCTGCTTTGCAGCCTTTGTCCAGCCTACAATATCTGCGAGCAGTGTGAAGCAGGAACATATGCACATGATCCTAATCACGTTCTGTTAAAGCTGCGAAGACCTGTGCCATGTATTTCTGAGAACTACAGCCTTGCAGAGTTCTCGCCTCGCCTGCCCGCTACTCTGGAGCAAGTTAGGTAAGTGGTGGCACCTGTCGTACCTAGCAAGGTTATCCTAATAACCAAGTGGAGACGCCTGTATTGGGGTTGATGTTCAGCTTTTATTTTAGATTTAGAGACAAGAAGAAATGGAAATGGTACTCAGAACTTTATTGTGAGTAGCTAAAAATAGCTATATACTTATAAATGGCCTAAGTAATCTTAGTGTTTTTAATAACAAGTTAGAAAAGACAGAATTTTGTGTTATAGATGGGTAGCAAACTTTGAGAGCTTGCTTTTTTTTTGAGCATGCTCTAGTCTGCCTTTAAGTTAGCTTTTTCATTGAGGCCATTCAAAATATCTTCAAGCAACTACGAAGATGTTCTTTTAAAATCACCTGTTATCCAGTGTAGAAGCATGAGGCATTTCCTGAAGTATTCCCTTTGAGACTAAGACTGTGTTCAAAGCTAAATTCTAATTAATTGATTGTATTGTAACAAGGTGGCTTATTCTCTTGCTAGGCTCCAGAAACAGATGGACAAAAGATTTCTGAAGGCAGAAAAGCAGAGATTACGAGCAGAGAAGAAACAGCGAAAGGCAGAGGTCCGAGAGCTCAAAAAGCAGCTAAAATTGCACAGGAAAATTCATCTGTGGAACTCTGTGCATGTATTGGAAACTAGTGGCTCACCGACTCAGAAATCTGAGAGTCTCCAGCCTAATGCCTTCCCGTAAGAAATGTTAGCTGAGCATTTCTTAGTGGTGCTGTCTATCCTTTTGTGATGAGTCCAAGTTAACCTGAGTTCTGTAACTAGAATAATATTCTTCCAGATAAGCAAATCTTTTTTGATGTGTTTCTTTTGTCCTTAAGCAAAGGAAAGCAAAGTGCTGTGTGGTGTTTAGACTTAAGATGAAAACAGTAGCTAAAACATTAGAATTTTGAAACACCTCTAGAGATAAAAGCAGAAAACAAATTAAATGGCCTCCTCCATTTTTAGCTGGTGAAATAGCAGCTGAGGGACTTCCTCCATTTTAGTGGTTTTTTTGGTGTGTTTCTTCTCTTCTCTCAATCCCAGGAGTCCTAGTCAAGCCTTCCCAGCAATTGTCCCGACACTAAGTGCAGTATTTGTGGATGAGAATTTGCCAGACGGGACTCACTTGCAACCAGGAACAAAGTTTATCAAACACTGGCGAATGAAAAATACTGGCAACGTGGAATGGAGCTCAGACACGAAGGTATCTTTCCTTTGCTGTTACTTTTACACACTGAAATAGTTCTGAAGATAACATTTGTATGCATTAGGAATCCGAGTTCTGTCAGAACCTATTTAGGATTGCATTTGGCCTATTAATTCACAAACTGGGAATTCTGGGGTAACGACCTGTCTAGGTACTCTCTACAACTGCAGGCTATAGGAGGAAAGCAATCAAGATTAACAGTGGAAGAACACATCTTCCAGTGCTGTTGTAACATTACAGTTCAAACTTCTTTACAACAGGTGTGTTGCTGTTCTGACTTTAAAAAGCCTCTTTTCTGTGAGTGACTGAGTTCATGCTGGAAGATGGGGTGGTGATAGTGATTAATGTGAGAATGGTTACTAGCAGCCTCTCTTCTCCGTGCCTGGAATCTACAAGGCCTTTCAGCAGAGGAACTAAGTGCTCCTTACTGCCCACAGGTTGCAGAGAAGCTTGTGAAGTTATCTTTTGCTTTCCCTGTTGTATATTTCAGCTGAAACTTATGTGGGGAAATCTGACCTTGGCATCGTCTGAAAAAAAGGATGTGTTAGTGCCCTCCCTTCCATCAGGACAAGTAGGAACTGTCTCAGTTGAGTTTGTAGCTCCTAATATAGAAGGAACTTACACCTCTCACTGGAGACTGTCCCACCGAGGGGAACAGTTTGGGCCCAGGATCTGGTGCAGTATTGTTGTGGATCCCTCCCCAGCTACTGACTACCTAGAAAGCAATTGGAAGGATTCAGAATCCTGTCAGAAGGATAAAGCTTCTAGCACCAAACAGGCAAGTAACTCATACGGTATTTGGGACAGTTCTGAAATGTAAGGAGCAATGAATATTGTTTGGTGCAATGGCACTGTCCATAACTACATTGATTTCCAGGGGATTTGTTAGTTGTTTGCTTCTAATTTTTTTTAATAGAAAAGAAAAATGGCTTTTATTGCATTTGTAAGTTCTAAAATTGTAATTTGTTTTGACAGGCATGGGATTAGTTATCAGTTTGCAGCTGTTTGTCTAGTTCTTTGAATTGAAACACTGCGGGATTTCTTTGTTCTTTTGGCTCTAAAATGAGTTGAGTTAAATCTCTTTTCAAGTTACTTGGGTTCTTATACCCAATACTCAGGCTTTATATTTAATGTAATTTTTTAATTTGCTGCCTGCCTAAGGGACTTCTGGGATGTTATTTTTTTGCTTTTGCAGGATGCTTCCTTGAAGACAGAAGCAGGTGCACAAGTGAGAGGTGAAATAATGGAGCAGGCTGAAATACCTCTGACAACTATTCCTTTAAAGATCAAAAATCTGCCAAGTGAGAGAGAATTTTATATCCCATCTGTTGATCTTCTCACTGCACAGGTAAAGTGCTTTTAAAAATTCAGGTAGAGATAAAACAAACCACTTTGGGTTTGATATCTAGATATACAGACATCCATAAGAATAAAAAGCTTCTGAGCTCTAAAACAGCCACTCTATATTCAGGAAGAGTATATTGCATTTTATAGAGCAGGACTATCTTCTTAAGTTAGTATTGGGTACTGTCACTAAAAGGGAAGTATGTGCAGGACAGAGGAAGATTCTCAAAGAGTCTCAGGATTGGGTCTTTCTCTGGCCCCTAATAAGGGAGTTCTTAGCTTTGCCACTTGCTGCCCTGGTGGTAAAACCACAATGTTTATGTATCATATTCTATTATGTGGATGTAAGTTATAGGAAAACTGACCTCTGGTCATGCTGAGTAGCTGGCAAAGTGGAGTAGACTTATTTGTAAACTAATGGGATCTGATGCTGGGAAGTGCGGCATAAGATTCCATTTCAGAGTTTGCTGATGAAAACTGTGTGGTGATTCTTTCTGTAGGATTTGCTGTCCTTTGAGCTGTTGGACATTAATATTGTGCAGGAATTGGAGCGGGTGCCACACAATACTCCTGTTGGTAAGGTTCTTCTCACATTCTCTGTGCTGTCTCCAGCGTTCTGAGTTAATTGCTTACCCAATGAAAAGCTGAACTTACCTGTGCAAAAGGCTTATTTGCTCTTGAGGCCAGAGCCAGGTCTTCTGTCTTCATTTTTATTCTTGCTGCAATTTTAGAGGATATATTTGGTAGCACTTTGTATCCTTTGTATTTTTCAGTCTTGGCTTCTTTTCAGCTTCACATCCCCAAGACCATAAGATTCCAGACATTGAAGAAGGCTGCCACTTTCTTTGCTCAACCAGTGCCAATGTAATGCTAAGCTAGTTACTTATTTCACCAAATAATCTTGTAAGATAACTGGGTTTCTTCAGTCTTGGAAGGTGATCCCTTAAAGAATAATTTCTTAAAAGGTTGCCTCCTTTAACGCTAATTATCTTTGCTACCTTTGTTTTTCAGACATGACTCCATGTATGTCCCCGTTGCCACATGATAGCCCCTTGCTGGAGAAACCTGGCTTAGGTCAGATAGAGGAGGAGAATGAGGGGAGCGGATTTAAACCAGTACCTGGTAAGCAGTAGTTGTGGGGAGCTTGGAGGGGAGGGGGATATTGTTACTCTTGTGCAGTCAGCAGTCTTGATGTCTAAAAAGGATTCTAACTCCTGTCTTTTCTCTTCTGTGGAAAATCAAATGGTAGTTTGGCTCATAAGCCTGTAGTCTGATGCTGCTGTCTGATTTTAGAGGTAGGAGCGTAATACATGGAGAGTTCAGAAATACAGATGCTTCTCTTGATTTGTCAGACTACTAGAATTGGGAGAATTAGCAGTTTGACCTTTATAGACTAGATTATACTCGGATCTTCCAGGTGTGGCCCCCATACTTGCCAATCACTTTCACATTCAACTTGAACTGAACTCCAAAACCTTTAGGTTTTTAAAAGGATTAACACATAGAGTCAACATTACCCTTGGCTAGCCTAAAACATTAATATAGTTACATTTCCTTGTGGTGGTGTTAAAATCTGTTATGCTTCCCTTTCAAAGGAGTGATGGAAGCCTGCTCTCCTGAAGATACTTTCACAGTAAAAGTGAAAGCTGAACATCCATTGAACCAGGAGGAAGGGGAGGAAGATATGAGTGGGACTCAGTTTGTCTGTGAAACTGTAATTCGCTCTCTAACCCTGGATGCTGCACCTGACCATAAGCCCCCACAAAAGAAGAAAGTCCTCCAGAGTAAGTACTGTCTTTGTCTGGCTTCGTGGCTTTACTTTTTTGCAGTCAGACATTTGCCACCAATTGCCCTACACTGCAGGTGGTGCTATCAGTTTAATTGCTTTTCCTGATTGTTTTATTAGACTCTTCACTAACATTGCAAGACACTTCCAGTTGCAATGTGATAAATGAAGAATCTCCTAGGATAAAAACTAATTCTACTTCCAGAAAGGAAACAAAGATTCATCAGTCAGAGGCAGTGACAGAAGATGGCTGTGGTAAGTAAAATAGGTTTGAATTTCACATAAAGGTGTAATAAGGGCAACAGAAAAATCAGGTGTAAAAAGACCTGACACTGTTGTAGGAAAGCAATCCTCATTAGATCAAGAGAATCATTATTCCATCAGAAAATTGGTGCCAGTATTCTGAACAAGCAGCTAGTTTAACAACTGCTTTTAAAAAAGTTAAATTCAGACATAAAGGTTCCAGTGGGAAGTGTTCCCAAAGTGCTGATATGTTAAGCATGGCTTGTGCTTCCATATTTTCTATGTGGAGCTTGAAGTCAGTGCTTTGAACTTTCTGATTCATGTAATTTAGGAGCTGCAAACTACTGTTGAAGTTCTCAGTGTAGCTGTTATTCCTGTTTGTATTATAAGCATTAATATCTGCATAGACTTCACAGTAAGATCTATTACTCTTTCACACTACACCCCCGCCCTCCCCCCAGTAGACAAAATTATACTATTAACGTCGGCAGCAAAGCGTTGCAGTTGTTTCTGAATACTTGCCTTTTATATCTGGGACAATACTGTCTTTGCTGTTATACATACATTGTTAATACTCTGCCTTTTTTTTTCTTTTTTTTTCTTTCCTCCTGTTAGGGGACCTTGCACTGTCTGAGAGAGCAAACCCCTGTAGTGATACCAGCAATTATGATGAAGAGGAAGATGATGATAAAGATGATGTTCAAAGTCAAGGCTCCTCTGCTTCATCGGAGGATTACATCATTATTCTCCCTGAGTGCTTTGACACCAGTCGTCCTTTAGGGGAGTCTATGTATAGTTCTGCTCTTTCTCAGCCCGGTTTGGAAAAGACAGGAGAACCTGAAACAGGAGCAGAGAATCCAGAAGGGGGGAGCCAGCCACAGATCCACAGTTGCGGTGATATTTTGACAACCTCACAAACCCTGGCTGTAGTACCGCTGGCCCCAGAGATGGCAGACACCTTACCCCAGACACAAAGGTATGCTGCTTGGAGAAGAACAAAACAGTTGTGTTAGAGTTGCTGTAGAGCCTGCAGGGTGTTGTGCTTAATTTAGTGTCCAAACAAGTTGTTGTGAAAACAGTTTTGTCATATACTGGAGTCAACATCCTAAATTCTGCAACTTTCTTATAAAGTCTGTACTTGCTGATAGGTGAAGGTGAGAGAGGGAAAGAAGGGAGCATGTGAAGCTTTTTCTTTTGTCTGTTGACCTTGACTTAGCTACATGTGTATGTGAGAGTAGTATAACTTTTTTCCTTATGTTCTCAGGAATCTTGCATCTCTTCAGAATCATATCTTTCAAGAACCAAATGTAACAGCTTCAGAGAATCTCTCTTCTGCTCCTCATAATCAAATAAGAGAAGGTATTGAGAGTACTTACTGAAAGGTGCATCTGCATCCACAGTTGTTATTGTCTGTCCCTAGTACTGGATTTGATGTCTTGTTACTCTTGAGGAGAGCAGGAATCTACGAAGTAATGATTGGTTTTTTTCTGGGTATTGAAATTTTACTATATAGAAGATTTGAATAAAGAAATAATTGGCTAATTAGAGATTGGGTAAATAGTGCATCTATTCATTAGAAACGGTAGGAGGGTACTCAGAAGTCTTTGTAGACATCTGGAAAACCACCTCGCTCTGGAATTGATGAGCTATGTATTTAAGCTGTTGTTACAGTCACTGGGAACTCGGACAGCAGTTCCTGTCACATGAGGTAAACACCCACTGACTAATCAGCCAAATGACTTCTGAAATTATTTTAATTGTTTTGCCTGCAGTGAGAATCCTGTACACCTCGTTTTTGTCTGGATAACTAAACTTGAAAGTGTTAATTTTGGTCTGAATCCCTTTCCTTTCCATTTATGTACCTGTTGCATCTCTTCAGCTTCTCATTAAATTGATGTGTTGATTTAATATTTTTGTTTCCTGTTCCAGAGCCCAGTGGTGAAGACAGTGATGGACCAGGATCTTCTGGATTTCTAACTAGTAAACAGAAGTGCTCAGAATACCCAAGGTAATGAAGCTGAATCTGAATCTGTGACTTCATAAATACTGGTTTAAACTAAGAACTCGTAAGTTAGGCACCTAGGAAAAAGCACTGGCTTACAGACTTCATGTAGTCAGCATTTTGGTAGAAAGGCCTCCCTTCTTAAAAAGGAAACATATGCTGAATTATACAATGCTGTATTTTCATAATATCTTGGTTTCTACTTGAACATGAAGGATGCAGAATTGGCAGGCAACACTGTATGAAGAACTCAAGCTGAATCCTTCTAAAATTTTGTGTTTTCCTGGAAAATCTCAGGATTCTTAAAATAGGGATTTCATAAAGTTACTTAAAAGCTTAAGTGTCTTAAGATACTGAGACTGGAGGAATGAGACAAAACATTAAGCAGAATATGAAGTCACTTAAGAGTGACTGGCCTGAGTGGATGTGTGACAGCGCGTGGCTTTCATTTATAGGTGTGCTCTTCTGGGTCAGAATACTTAATTCTTTGCAAATGGCCATGCTATGGAAATCAAACTAATGTGCTTTAGCCTGAGACCACAGTTAAACAGAAGGTGTCAAGAAAGAAGGAATGAGCTTCCTGGATAGCTCAGTTCCTGAAGAGCAGTGATTCCTTTGGATCATGGGCTGTTCTCTCCATCAAGAACTAATCTCAGTTGGCACATCAGCAGGGAAAGACTTGCATTTCATGTGAAACAAACACGTGGCTTTACTGACCCCAAACTAATAACTGACTTCTCTGCAGATACTCTCAAGGAAGCAGCATTGCAGGAGAATTAGTGAAAGGAGCTTTGTCAGTTGCTGCTTCTGCCTACAAAGCATTATTTGCTGGACCACCCGTTACAGAGCAGGTAAATGTCTTTCCTGTGTGCTGTGTGGGTTGCACAGAATGACAACCTTAAAATTAAAGGTCTGTGTTCTATAAATGTAGCAACATTCTATACAGGACTTCATGCAATGGTAAAATGTTAAGCTTGATGGCATGCCTTTGAAGCATGCTACTCTGCCAGCAGATAGGGAAATTCATTCCGTGGGGATAGAAGCATATCACGTGAACCATCGTGTCAGAGTAGTAATTCACCTTTAAGTGAACAGTGAAAGTGAATATAAATGGGTTAATTGTGGAAAAAAGGGCCTCTGTGCCTTAATTATATTCCAATATAAGGCAGGACCACTGCTTCAAAAGGCAAAAATAAATTACCTTTCTATAGCTTACCTCAATGTCTTCTGTTTTTGGCAGCCTGCAGCTACAGAAGAGCACACAGCAACTCTTCTATCCAGTCTGTGTGAGATGGGATTCTGTGACAGGCAGTTAAACCTGCGTCTGCTGAAGAAACACAACAATAATATGGTTCAGGTGGTAACTGAATTGCTTCAGATCAGTAACAGCGACTGGTACAGCAGCAGGTGCTGAACTTTCCTGGTGGAGAGAGGAATTGTCTTCATTGAGTAAACTCTCACCAAACACTATGACAGTAGCAGGCTGCTCCTCAGCTGCTGGCTGCTTGGAAGTGTGATTAAAATGGTCTTTTCTTTGAGCTTTTGATTTTTTTCTCATGGGAATGTCAAACGGTGCTTGTCACTGCATCTTATGAATTGGAGACCAGAATTTCAACTGTTATTTGGACCTTAAATGAGTAGTCTTTATGTCTCTTAATTTCATACTGAACCCTCTTTATCAGGGAATCCTGTAGAATTACTTTAAATTTCCACCTAGATGAGAACTTCCCCTTTTTATTGTGTATACGATTTTTTTTTAGGCAGCTGGAAACTTGTTTTGTTGACTTCTAACAAGCTTTGGAATAGGAATCCATGTAAGATGCTGCTGTAAAATGTAGTCTTGCCTAATATACAAGAGATGCCCACATCTAGCAAGTTGTTTCTTCTGATATGATTTAGTAATTGATTTGTACCGTGCATGATAGTAATGTAACAGACTTAAACCTTACAAATTATTCTTAGAAGAAAAAGGTTGCTCATACACAAAAGCTATCTTGAACCATCAAACAACTTTTCAAAAGTCTGAAAGTGTTAAATGCAATTAAGCTGTTTAATGTTCACTGTTAAGCTGATGAATACCAGGAAAATCGTTGTTCTTGTAGCAGAATGAAGCAAGAGTGAATTCACCAGCAGCAATTGAACCATCTTTACTAATGATAGTGCAAAGCATCTCTAACAGGAAGATACAGCCTATGTAAAATATTTTGTTAAAAATTGAGTGTGACGGTTGGAAGGGCCTTTTTAAGAATCTTTACAGGCTCTTTGCAAAAATATTAAAAATTTGACCACTATCTTTTTTTTCAGTGTATGACAAAACTCGTATTCTGTTAATACCACACAGAAGAATTGAAGAACATGTAGAAACCTAGACCTGAATTGGAGTGCAAATTCTGGTAATGTTTAGGAAGGGGAAGAGTGCTTGAGGTAGGGATTGTGTAACTTACAGTATAGATTGAAAAATGCATTAACTTAAGCAGTCAAGTGTACAGTCTCCTGTGATGGTTCTAGCTGCTCACATGTTTTCATAGACACATCAGCAGGATTCACGTTTCTCAAGATTTTGCTTTAGATGCCCATGTTTAATTTGGAAATCTAGGAATTCCCTTCTAAATGTGCTGAGAGAGATTTGATTCTGAAGAATCACGAGAAATGAGCAACAGACACTGCTGTGCAGTGCTGTACCCATAAATAGCTTCTCGGAGTCCAGTCCCTCCTCTAGGTGACAGCAGTGTTGGCTATGTTCTTCCTTTCAAGCAAACTTTTTTCCTTGCTGAGGTAAGAGACTGTTGATCCTAAGATATTTTATTACTGCTGCTTCAAACGAAGGTGTTCCTGTTTTGTCACACTGTAGCCGAAGCAGTATCGGTGTTGTGACTGACCAGGTGATAGGTGGTAGTAATGTTTTTTAAAAGACAATACCCTTAGAAATACCATTAAAATATTTGAAGAAGAAAATGTATCATACCACTTCTGTTTTAAACCTATTTTTATAGATTGTGGAAGATATACTCCTGAACATTTATTTTGAAATACAGTAGAACTGTTTTGCAGTGTTTCCCATCTCTCTGTGTACGACTGTCTGCTGCGGACCACGTGAAGATCTTTCTGTAACTTGAAGCTTCTGGTGTTTTCCCACCTTTAATGTACGCGTACTCTTTGGAGTACGTGGTGGCTGATGCCTGCTCTAGAAGGAGGAAGAGGAAAGGACAGGGATGAAGTGCTGTAGCTGGTGGAATTTGTAAGCACAGTGTGGTTGTCAGCGTTGACATGGAATGCCCAGCAGGACCTCTCTTCTTTCTGTGTGTACCTTCATCCTTAGAATGTTCATGTGTTCTCTAAATTAACAAGACACTAAAATGTTTCAGGAGGGAGGAGCACTTCATTCCAGCTTGGTATGTGAAGTGTGAAATGCTGTTTTCTTGAGGTTACTCTTCACTAGGGTTTAAGTAATGTATGCTCAGGCTTAAGGTAGAAATATTTTTGTTGGCTTTGTATATTTTGTTAATGGATGCATGGTATAATTTATAATATATTCTATAGTGCAGACATGGCCTCTGTATCTTATTTAGGGTGAGCACTTTAATGTCAACTGTGATGAGGGGGAGGACGCCGTTTTTTCCCCTCCTCACAATAAAACTCCTTCCCCCAGTCCCTTGTGCTGTTTGCAGGAGCTGGGTTAGGAGAGCCGTGCCACCCTGTGGCACTTCCAGTGGCCCTTTGGGGGCTCAGGGTGCACCTGGGGAC